AGCAGCGGGCAAATCCTCTTTGGCCTTGATTTGGTCAAAGCGTCGGGACCCAATGAGATCCCCACAAGTGCTAATTTTCCCTCTCCTCTCACCAGGTTTCGCGCCTGATTGATCGGCTACAAATTCATACACCTCCTCAAAATCAATCCCACCCCGGATTTTGCTCTCCTCAGGAGGCAAGAAGCAAATGTCCTCCCCCGAAGTGGTCAAAGCCTCATCTCCGGAGCCATTCGCAGCAGTTTGATCCTCAGTAAATGTTGGACGGCGTGACTTAGTCCTGCGGAGGCCTAAGGCAAGATCCGCGAGAACTTGAGAGCTGATGGCGGCGGAACAATCCTCACGGCATCTCTGCTCCCGATTCGCGTATGCCCCAACAGAGTTTTGGGCCGCTGGGGATCTCGTGGAAGCGACCCAAGAAGAAGGACGGGATGGAGATGGTACTCAGTACCGACGGTCAGCACAGTCATCAGGACAAAGGGCACACCTATCGTCGCATGTGTCTTCATCCAACACAGATTGCTTGTAGTCTCTGTGAATAAGGCTATGGGTATCCTAGATGATGAGCGCGCGATATGTCCAGACGGACACGAGCGTTTGACGATGTAGTGCCAGAGCAAGGAAATGCATGCGCCTCGAACCTATCATCCAGCTCCGCCGTGGGGGCATTGGTAAAGTGTGGCGACTTGGAACGTGGGGTGTCCATTGCTGCTGCCTTCTCCCGGGGGCGGGTTCAGTAGAGATGGTGGAAGTCCGGCACAAGCGATTGAGCAAAAAAAACATCGTAGTCGTAAAACGAGTTATGGCAGCGAGATAAAGAGATAGCCGCCATGGTGATCTTGATGATAAATCTATCGCAAAAAATGCATCAGTCATCTTTGCTACCTTTCCATGAGTCGCCAAAGTCTGCTCACAACCAATTTCCAGAAATCGGGAATTCCAGCACCTAGGGCGAGCCGCCAGGTGCGCTCACCACACTAGTTGCAATGAATTTGACAGTCTCGAGAGTTTGGAATCACCCTCGACAAGAACGGGGGAGGGTGGGGGAGAGGGCCCGGGTTAGAGAATGAGCCGAAAGGTTTCCCCAGCTGTGAGACCGAGGACTGTTCGGCGGTGCCATGGGCAGGAGCTATGATATAAAGCAGTGGTCCTTCCTCCGATTGGCCGACCTGAGGGCCAGTTATGGAGGGTTCTTGGAAGCTCCAAGGACCCAGGATAGCGGGCTGAGGAGGGGGAGAGCGAAGAAGAACTTTGGAGAAATGGATCCCGCGAACTTGGTGGTTTGTGAGTTAAAAGGCCACGCAGGCACTAGAGTCCCACGAATGGTGAAATCAGCAGAGAAACTAAATGGGAATTGCTCTACTGCACCTGACGAGGGTGGACCAGAGAGTGGTTTCTGAGTGCATGGCAGGAAAGGTGATGCCTTTGGAGATGGTATGATAAGAGATTCCTTTGTCCGGGGCCCTAAAATAGGGTTGACCCTCGGAAATAGTTAGATAGTAAATGCGAATGGGTGTAACCCACAGAGTGATTATACTTTTTATTTTTTTCAGGATGAAGAGCCTGAAGCAGAGGGCAAGCAGTTGGACAAAGGGCAAGCTCGGTGAAGGAATCGGTGTTCCGTTCTGGGCACAGTGAAGGTGGGAGGTACGGGTTATTGAAGTTGTTTGGAAGGGAAGAAGAGGCGTGGAAAGGGTGGGGGGAGTGGGTGCGGCACCAAGGATAGGAGGGAGGAAGAAAAGAATGATGGTTGTGTAATCCTGTTGTGGGGAAAAGGCAGACATGGGGGAGCATGTACGAGTAGTTGGTTAAACACTTGTCTACGAGTACATCCCACCCTATTTCTAAACAGACCGGTAACCATGACGAAAACCTTCTATCAAACCCAGTCGCTAACCTCTCAGTTGGACAAGTTTCCACACCGGTACTCATATGTCGCCTTCGGTTGTGGTATCGACCGTCGGGCTGACACGAAGAACCCGGATTAATCCAACCATAGACGGCTTTGGCATAGCCCCCTTCGACAGCGAACCCTATGCGCCAATTCAGAACCCATACACAATAGGGGTCCCCAAGGTAGCATGGCAACAGTGGTCTTTCAATTCAGGCTGGGGGGTGATTGGCGGCAAGGTGCCAAGATGGTGAGGGAACTTGAGGGGACCATTTACACTCCTCAAGTCGGTTCCCCGATTCAAGCCCTGGTAAATTGAGGAACCACAGTTGAAACCCTACTTTGAGGACCCCTAATGTAACAACTCTGCAATTATGATACAGTTGGACCTTTCCGCGCGTCATACTCCTACCTATCAAACACGACTCGCATATTATACTCGACTTACCGGTATGCACTGCGATGTGCTCCATCGGATGCTGGGTTCTTCCCGAGAGCCTCGGAAAATTGGAGTACAGATACTTCGGATGTATCTCTAGCTAATAGTTATCCCGTATCTTGCTGCAACTTTGTGAAATGTTATGAAATGGCCGCGCAATCTATAAAAGTGGACCCTAGTCTGTTCATTTTTTTTTTTGCCAACCATTAGTCTAGCCGTAAGTAAAGGAAGAACGTGTGGTTACCCGGCGTCCAAAAACTTAACAGATTTACGGTTTGCATTTCCTGTTATGTGTTTGCTACAACATCCACCTCCCAACTATCAACACTCGCTTTCAATAGGGTCCACCAATCCCGCATCTTCAACAATGTTTCCCATCTGTAAACGATTTTTTCTAGTTAACCCTGTCTTCTATTCTTTCGCTCATGTACTTCCGTCTGCCTATACCTCCACTTCCGACATAACCATTTGTAGGCTCAAATTGGATAATCAGAGCCGTCCCGCGATGAAAAGGTGTCAGCAATTCCACCGCAGCATTGGTAGCATCACCCCAGGCTCTGTTGGAAAGGTTCGGGAACATAAAACTGCAGATTCTCTTCAGTTCATAGAGATAGAGGCTAAGATATGGCAGCAATTCGACGATAAAGAGACGGTACTGCGTCAGCAGCTTGATGAGAAAGAGACAGCAATACGTCAGCAGTATAAAGAGGATCTCGCAGCAAACCTTGCGGCAGGTTATGTGAACCCCAAATTAGAGAAATCTCGGTAATCTAATTTACAACCAGCATTACAAGGAGGATCTTACGGAGAAGGAGGAAAAGCTTTACCAGCGGTACAAGCGTGATCTGGCGGAGAAAGATGCAAAAATTGATGAAAAGGAGGAAAGGCTTTACCAGCGGTACAAGCGTGATCTTGCGGAGAAGGAGGAGTCAAATCAAATCCAATCCCTTGAGTTTATGAAGCTAGGTGTAAGTTATACCACCTCTGAATTGGAAAGGCGCGGAGCTATAATGTCTTAGCAGAATAGGATGATCAATGAATACACGGAAAAGCTGAAACTGGAAGGACGTTTCAACATCCGTGGCGCTATTGGTCTGAACTCTGCAGTCACCACCATTGGCCAGGTACTAACACAGGTGCCCAGAGAGAATGATTTACCATGCTTGTGCCCTACGGAAGTTACAGGAGTATAAGGGCATGCAGGATGGCCTGGTCAAACTAGCGGAGAGACCAGAGTTCAAGTCTGCTCTCCAAGCGGAAGCAGACAAATGGAAGCTAGTTCCTGATCAAATTAAAGCCTGTGTTCCTCACCTGTACCATAAACTGTCTCTCCACGCGCATGGCAATGACGCTATGATAACTATCCGTGAAAAAGATTTTCATTTTCACGAAAGAGCAGCTCTCGTGGCCCTGATGAGCATGGAGGGCAAGTGGCCAAATGGGCTTGCCTGGAAAGAAGAATTGGTAGTGAGGAAGAAGAAATAAGGACTACATTGCAATTGAGATCTGGTTTTTTTCCCGCCGCTTGCAGTGTACCACCTCTCTTCCTATATGCAGTCAGCCTTTGGTTCTAGCTAGGATCAGTATCTCGTGTTCCACTTTTTACAATGCTATGTACTGCCCTCGAAAGGACACCGCCGTTCGAGTGTAAGTGTGTCCAGAGTTGTTCCATGGATTGGTGGCAGAAAAATTACTTTCCTATTGGGAGTATCCTGTTTTTTCAGCAATGATCAGAACGTCTCGGCTAAGCCTTATTCTTCTCCACTGGGGTGCCCGACGTCTGGTATAGGTTTTCGAAATAGATCTCCCGCACTCCAGGAATAAACAGAGCATCGTCCCAGAGCCTCGATGACAACTGCCCGCAATCCCCTCCGCTCCCTCACCACCGGTAGTGCCTCCCCTACCCAGGTGGTGGCTTCTCTGTTCTCTCCGGAAGCTCATGCTTCTTTCTCTCCTCTTCCGCACTGACAATACTCTGCCAAGCAAGTCCCTGGGTGCCCCTACCCCCCACATCAAGCACATTCTTAATGTCCTGCTCCTCCCCTCCCGGCCGAGCACCCAATCGCCGCCCAACCACCTCTGTAGCCGGGCCAACGAAGTCAAGCACTGTGGGTAGAGCCCGGCACCACCGCAGTGAAAAACACATCAGCATCGATACTCGACAGTGAAGTGGTAGTCAGGTTCAAGGGAATAGTCAGTTCGTGCTGATTTCGCGTCTTCAAGTATGTAGGTGAGAATTGTAAGTGTGGACCACCGAGAGCCCTATGCATCAAGTTCACTATATGCGAGGTGGGGGCCTCCACCATCGCAGACTCTGTCCGGTCCCTTACCGATGGTAGAAGTCGGTTGTGAGTCATCGCGAACCGACTGACATCAGTGAGAGAGGTGTGTCCAAAAGAGGCGAGGAGAACCACAGGTGCAGAAGTCCCCATCTCTTCCTCCTTCCATGCCTATTCATTCGGGATGCGCAGTCCACTGGGCAACCTGGGCAGATAAGGCCTCCTCCGCAGGTGTCTTTGCGGGGTGGAAAATGTTCTCCCAAACCTCGGTACTGGGTATATCATGAGTTATGAGATGAAAGGGGAATCACAATCCTTAGCTTTTAAATAAACACCCAAGCTACCCCGCCTGGGACGCCCTTCTACTGAAATACAAAGAAAGCAATTTTAGAAATCGTCTTCCGCAGTTCCTTAGTGAGTGGGCAGGCAGTGGGGGAAGTTCGTTGGACAAGTATCAGATGCTCTAACCCACTGTATTCACTCGAAAAAGCCATGATTCTATTACTCACACTCCAAGTTGTTTGTCCATATGCTGCGATGTCTGCCCCAACCCAAACTACTCTAATCCCTACATCAACTGTACTCTGCCAGTGAAAAGAAACAATTATATCTCCACCATGCCGGCTGGGCACTGCGAGCAAACCATGAGGGTCTTTTCATTCCTCTTTTCGCCACCACGGCCTTATGCTGATATAAATTTTGCCATTGAAGCAAAATACGGTCTGGGGCCTGACTTCCACTGATCGGATACTGCGTTAATAATCATTACTAAAAATCCTTAACATTAGGGTCTGTGACACTTACTTAGATTTTGTATAACATTCATGCATGCTGGAATACTTGGAATTAGTAGTAGAGTGGTACGAATGGTATAGACTTTCAATGACAGACAAGCCATCTAACGGGCTACTTGGGTGGAAAATCTACAGTACTGTACCTTCCTACAGAGGAAGATCATATCAGCGGTTCAATAGAATAATGAGGTCGGATGATTACATATAGCAAGTGCGATCAACGTAGCATAGTGTGAATATACAGATACCTGGTAGTAAGGGGCACAATTATGATCGAGCATAACCTTAGGGTTCATGATCCAGAAAGATTTGCTGGAGCAAAACTCGATCATGATCTAATCATGCCAGTGGCCATCACCAACACCTGGTATGTATGATGCCATATTATTGCCTGACCTGTTTGGTGATAGTCCACCGGATTCCTGCAAGAATCCTGTCCTGTAGCCATGCTGGACATTTCTACCAGTTCGCACCTACCTTACAAAGAGGTCTTAGATAGGAGAGAGATGTTAGTCAGATCGGTGTTGAATGCAGCATGAAAGGTTTCCGCAGCATCTTGCCTCCTACCACATCAGGCTTGAAGTCCCACAGTTCTACATATGCCACCATCTGCCACCCCCTGAGTCTATGGCAGATTACCACAAGTCAAACATAGCATAGTGCCATTGATCTGCATTATAAAGTTGGGTTCTACAATGACTTGCATTTTCTTTGCTGTGAAGTCCTTGTCCTAGATAGCATCGGCAATCTGAGGCCCAAGGAATCTGAAAACTGAGATTCTGTGCACAGTTTAATCTGAGGTAGCCAGAATCCAAGGTCTACCTATTCAGCGATCAGTGGCCAACCTCGTACCTAACCAGGTCTGAGTTGTACATAAACCAATCCCCTTCTAACAGATATTCAATACTGCACTTAACAGCTACAGGGTCCTCAGGCTGTGGCAGTTCGTATAACTTTACAATCTCATGCTTCAGGTAGTAGACATATTGTTACCTTACCTCAAAGTGTTTTTATTACATGGATCTTTGTTATCAATCTGCAGAGTATTCCGCCATTCATTGCGCACTTAGTTGGTTCAAAATATGCTTTGATGGCTTAATATCGGCAGGTTCTGACATCTTATCCAGTGCCTCGCACCGAATGCTATGTATCTGGACAGTTAAAGCAACCACATTTGGCAGTAGGTCAACTGACAAGATGTTACAGAGAATCAAAGTCTTGACCATTGCTAGTATCAGATGTTCAGGTGCAGTCTCAAAATTCTGGAGCAGGGGATTTACTGAAACAGAGCCTCCCTCAGGAAGATGGATCCCAAGGATATGATGGTAGCAAACTTCAAATCTCTCAAACAAAAGCTCTCGCAAATTCTAAAGAATAAAAGTAACCGTAAAACTTAATATCGTTAAGCTCAGGCTTATCTCAATTCAAGTCTCTTTAGAGAATCTGGATTCTGTCATGGTAGGAGAGTTCTCGTATGATCTTTCAGTAGTCAAACTTATACCAAAAACGTACCGATCAGGATTCCCTGACCATCATGAGTGTGGCCTTCTCCGGAAGGGTTGGCTGGCACTATTACCGTGTCCCCAAAGGGCCTAAGTTGTCAGTACACTCTAGTAGGAATTTCCTACATGCATCTCAGTTCATGCGAAGTATTTACCAATACACCCGCCGGAGTGAGAACCTCTGCACATGGCTGTCTCGCGCGTGGCTAACTGTCGCGATGCCTAGGAAAGCTAACTAAATGACTCTGTTCCCATGTGCAATGATCTATGTAAGCACCAGTAGATATCAGCTGTCTTCCGGATAAGTTCTATCTATCCAGACTGCGAACTTGGAAGGCCAAGATTCCTTCTGCCGAGAGCTGTAGTGGCAGCGGGACCCTTGAGTACTACGCATGGTCCCTTACCCCCAGCACACCACTCATCATGATAAGGATCATGCTATTAGAGTCCTCAAACAACCTACAAAGAGCCAATGGCAAAGGGGCACGTGTAGAATTGATTGGTGTAAAACCTTCCAGATGTCTAGGGTACTACCCGGGACTACTCTCGGGACCCTTCCGGATAGCTCCCACTAACTCCGTCAGCTTTGGTCTGTGTTACTCTATTCCGTTTGGAGAAGGTACCTGACCTTATCACCTTGGCACCTATTTATACCCTGCGAACAGCTTCTGGTCAGACGGGCGGCAGCAATGTATACAGTGTTATAGACATATCTTCAATGATCCCATGTAACTAGTAAGACGTCAACTCCACCCATTTTGACCCATGATACCTGGGGCGAGCCCTGGGGCCGCAGGTACTTCTGACAAACAGTTCTACCAAATTATAACATGTTTGGAGCACTATAGCTCCTCCCGTAGTCTTCTGATCAGTCTCCAAACAAGTGCCTGTGGTTGGTCATTGTATAACAAACAATCCTACGAGTTCCGGGAATTCCTTAGAGAATATTCTCGATGAAAGGTAGGGTAATAGTGCTTCAAAGATGGGATAAGTACGTCCATGGTGACATGAAACGAGTCTCCATGGCAGGGTGACGTGACTTTCCTAGACAGGGTAAACTTACCTGGCCTTTCGACCTATCCTTAGGCTGCAGTGGACCAACTCACATTACTCCTGCTACCTGCGTACACCCATTCCGTAAGTACCTTCTGTGCTATTAGGATATCCAGACCATTGGACATCCCTTAGACATGCTCCAGCATGCCTTCCTAGTCTACCATGGGACCTCTAGGTCTTATGTATGGGTGTAGACATAGGTTGTCATAGCTCTATAACCTAGGGTGGTTACATTTATATCAGCAAAAAAAGATGCTGGTGTCAGGTGCGCCCTGTGCGTCAGTTGCACAAGACACACTGGACACAAACCATTACTCAGGATGCGACGCCGCAGCCCGCCGGCACCCTAACTCTGTACTTTCTCGTTGCCGTGCCCTGCTCCTTTCTGGACCTCGCTCCTGACGTCCACATCAGCAAAAATAAAAGCTTGCGTCCTGTGCGTCCTGTGCGTCTGACGCACAGGACGCACAGATGTAAACCGTTAATCAGAACGCAAGACGGCAGCTACCGAATCTCAGGACGCAACGGTCCTTGGCGCCAGAACTCAGGACGCAGCCAGAACGCAAGCGAGCCTTGGTGCCACAACTCAGGATACAGCCAGAACGTAAGCAAGCACTACTGCAATACCAGAATTAGACCTTGTGACCCAGGTCACATATGTAGATTCTGACAGCTTTCATATAAATAGTATTTCTCATCATATTCAAGTCGGTTCTATAATATACGATACAGAAAGAAAGCACCCCCCCCCCTCCTCCCTAACCCTTTGCTATGAAGCCGGCCCAAACCACTTACCTGACAGGAGATAACTGCACCAATATTGGCGCCGGGTAGACGTCCAAGGTACCATTGGA